GTTTCACAGATTTAGGAGCTAGTTTTAGCGCTAAAACGCTTTAAATTAAAATTTAGGAGTCCTAAATTTAGGATTGACACGCCCATTATTTTTAAGATTTTCTCCTAAATCTGCAAGTTATGAGCTACTTTTAGCCTTAAGATGTTTTGTGAATACTGGCCCTGGTTTCTAGTTAAGTGTTTTTTTCTATTGCACATTGCACTGGTACCTTTTTACACCCAAATGCCAGCAGATCCGAGTCCTCTGTGATCACTGCCTGAGCGATACCAGATTTGTTTAGGAAAGCTAACTGGGCATCTGCTTCATACGGAGCAACAACACAGTCCACTCCACGCATCCTGGCAGTCTGAAAACCAGAAAACAGGCATAAATGAAAAGATGCCAAACAGAAAAAAAGGTAAATCTTGATTAATCTGTTTCCAATATTGCATAATAATTAACTGATTCCAAAACAAATATTGTTTACAGATATCAGATACAATGGTCTCACCTTAATGACATCATGTGCCATAGATGGGGTGATATTAACACTGCGGGTAAAGCATTCTCTGGCTTCTGATATCTTACCCTCCCGCAGCAGCTGTTTGCCTTTCTGCAGATTTGCCTGTCGACGCCTGTTAATGAAATATACATTAAATATGCGTAATTTTTAATTAAACGAATGAACTTTTTCTCCAATAAATATTCTGTTCTTACTCGCGCCGGGACTTCTCCACTTCCTTTTTGGATGGCAAGTTACGTCCGTCAAACACCAAGATTGGCTTAACACCAAAAGAACGCAGCATATCCACAAACTTCATACAGTACGACACATACCTGATGGACACACAATGAATGTGAGCATGAGAAATGCACATTTTAACCTGGAAAATGATGTTGGAAATGATTGAACTGCTGAAATACTCCGGATATTGCATGCAAATAAATGAAGCGACTCACTGATCTGTAGGTTCTCCTTTTGCAAGTTTCTCTGCACATGAAAATGCCCCCTTATGGAGCCAGCAGTATGTGTCCACCGCCACTGTCTGTCCCCGGTATTTCTTCACACTGATAGGCTCTGAGGCATCTTTGATAAACTGCAACAGGCCTTGAATTCCCATGTTGTCTATCTGGAAGGACAGATGTCTACTCTGAAGATGATGGTTTATCAGAATCCAGCCCGTGTCACTCTATCAGATGAAAACAAAAGTCCCTGATGATCAATAACAATACACGATGCACTGAAGAACATAAACACATCCTCAAAAGTCAACGGAAAACATTTCCTAACCGTCCAACCGCGAGGACGTATGTAAAAAGACAAAAACCTATATACATTAACTTTTAATACATTTAATGATTGTCATACGTCCACTCCACAGAAGACTTCAACCGCCAAATCCCTCCAAAACCAAGCCCACTGACAATTCTCGCGAAACTTGAGAATTGAACAACTGAGATAGACTGAACAACATGAGATAGAATCAGACCGCTAAAGCTAATACCTTAATCATGTGTAAATTAAACAAAATTTTGTTTTAGTATTTATCAAAAAAACACTTACCGAGAGCTTTTACTTCTGCTTCAGTGTCTGACTGATGTTACAGGGGTTCAACTTTAGCGGCAAAAAACTTGACATCACTGCAGAATAACCCTATTGGTCAGCCTCACAAAGACAGCCAATCACAGCGCATAAACATGGAAGAGGCGGGACAAGGATTTCCACAACATCGGAAATGTCCCATTTTATTTATTTATTTATTACTTGTAACACTTTTTTTTCAGAACGGTCACGGGGTGGTGCTGTCTCGGTGCATTGAACGTGTGTTGTCGGTGCTTGGTTCTGGCGCTGGGTGGAGCGCGCGCCTCCCCGTTTCGTTCTGCTCCAGGATTTGACGTGTCGTCTGTGTTTTTTTCTGCACTTCCTGCTTCCTCCGTGACTGTTTTGAGCCAGCAGTCCCGTCCGAAAGCTGATCGGTAGGAATCGTTAAACGTAGCAATGGTGTGAAGGTGCGCGATCGGCGGCGGTGTGTGTGATCGTGAGTGAAGCCCGAGCTGTTATTGCTGTCTGCCATGCAGTTCTCTCCCACCAACGGAGATTTTACCTTCGTCTCCTCGACGGACGCTGAAGGTACAGTAGTTAAAGGCCCCAAAGCATCCATACGTCTCTTCTCTGATATATTAATCTATTTTATGATGGAATTGTTTGTGTGTATGATACATACATGTGTATACATACATTAATATGAGAATATATCCAAGTATGTGAATGATCAAGCCTCTTAATGTATCATGACACGGGTGTTGTTTGTAGACTAAATAGGGATGCAATAGTGAGCTGTATTTATCTAAAACAACCTCTTACCCACCAGAGCTCAGTGGCACCATCGATGCACCAGATATCACACTAAATATGGGCCCTGATTCCACCAGGGATACTTACCCCACCACCTTCCTAAAACAGAGAGGTTATGGATGGTTGCTGGAGGTGGAGGAAGAGGATTCTGAGGACACTAAACCGCTCCTGTGAGTTTTTGGAACTCGATTTCTGATGCTTGATTTCACATTTGGTTTTGGTTGTGTTAATTTGTTGTCTGTGTTTGTGCAGGGAGGAGTTGGACATTGATTTAAAGGACATCTACTACAAGATCAGGTGTGTGTTGATGCCCATGCCCTCGCTGGGTTTTAATAGACAGGTGGTGAGGGACAATCCTGATTTCTGGGGCCCGCTGGCTGTTGTCCTGCTCTTCTCCATGATCTCCATCTATGGACAGTTTAGGGTGAGAATTGAGTCTTTGTATCTTGACCATGAGCAGTATTTTATATGTTTAGTGAAGATGCATGTGCACATAGACCTACCATCAAAATCCAAAATAGATTGCCATGGACTGTAGGCTTATGACAAGGTTATCTTCAATAACATGGAAATAAAATTAATGATATTTGTGCTTCTAAAACCACAATGTCTATTCATCAAATATTTTTAATGTTTAGAATATCTTTAAATATTCATTATGCCATAATGAAGGGGTGATGACATTTCTTATTACTTCTCTAATTTAATGCAAGTTTTTATAGACTGAGAACCCTAAAAATTATTAAACATTAAGTATTAATTAGATAATTATTAAGAAAATAAATATAATAGTATTATAGTAGAATAGTAGTAGTAATATTATATTAATAGCACCATACTAAAGTGACTTTCAGGAAGGCATGAAGATCGGAGAGATTCATTATTTTGTATAATTTTTCATTTCAGTTTCCTTGTCACTTGCATGATTTAGTTAGTCAAAACAGAAGCAGAAATGCATCAAATTTGGAATATTTTTTAATATGTTATATATCTTTTTTTGACCAATCAGGTTGTTTCCTGGATTATTACGATCTGGATATTTGGATCACTTACTATTTTCCTTCTTGCAAGAGTGCTGGGTGGAGAGGTATTTATATCTTGTGAAGCGTCAGATAGCATATGATTTTTATGAGTTGAAAAGGATGCCCACTCATGGTTTTTAATTTTATTTATAGGTGTCTTATGGACAAGTGCTTGGAGTTATTGGCTATTCTTTGCTCCCACTCATTGTAATAGCTCCACTTCTCCTGGTCATTGGGGGTTTTGAAGTCGTCTCTACACTCATAAAGGTAAATATGAATTAAAAAAAAAAAGAATATGAAATTATGTATGATATTGATGATATAATATGTAAATATGGGTCCCCCCCCCCTCTAGCTTTTTGGAGTATTCTGGGCTGCGTACAGTGCTGCCTCTTTACTCGTCGGTGATGAATTCAAGACGAAGAAACCCCTTCTCATATATCCCATCTTTCTTTTGTACATCTACTTCCTGTCTCTGTATACTGGAGTCTGAATTGACCACAGGCTTTGATTGGCTCGTTGCTTGGACATTGACAAAGAGCACTGTGGAGAGCTACACAGCAGGGATGTTCCATGAAGACCAAGAAGGAATTTGCATTTTCTTTTACCCTGTTTATAATCCTATATGCTTTGGGGAATGAGGTGTACAGACATTAGTGTATTTAACTGCTTCCATTTATTTTGTACACAATAAAAAGCTGCATCTTTTACTGTGGAAGCCCTGTTTGCAGAGATCCCTCTGCCACCGAAATCTGGAGCCCTGGTTTTACATGATATTTACAAACCCCAAAAGGAAAAAAAAGAGAACTTTATATTGTAAAAGATTATGGAAAGCATGATAGTCATGTAACAGAAATTGTGTGTCACCACACATAATGGTGAAAACTTTGAGTTAACCAGCTGACGGTAGACAGATTTTGTTGTTGTTGTAGACTGATCCAATACATTCACTGAATTCTTGATCTAATCAGTTTTCATTTTTAATTTATGAGTTCTACATGGAAAAAGAGAGTATGCAGGCAGTACAGCTTAGATTAAAAAGGTCTGCTTTGAATGGGTGCCTTGAATTGGTCATTTTATATGGCTGTGGTGTATTTTATTTATGTAAATGTAGCCAAAAAGGAAAGGAATTTTTATTTGTAGAACATGCAATTGAAAACAACTTTCTACCTGGTGATGTGTACACTGCAGACATATGTTACCATATTAGTTGAGCTAAAACAATTGAGTCTGGAAATTGTTATATTCATGAATCAGATTAAAATCTATTGACACTGTAATTACACTTTTTGTTGTGAATCTCATTAATGTTGTGGAATAATAATACTTAATTGCATGATTTATTTGTTAATTTCATATTCATTAAAAATGTTTGGCTACTGGTTGTAACAGTAAACAATCAAAAAAGTGATTATGCATAATATTTTGAGGACACAAGAGTGTTGTATCTACTGTTAAAGACAAGACGCATCAAAACAAAAAAAAAGGTGGTTGGATATTTGCTGAAAAAATTATTGACAAGCATCATGGTAAGTGTAATTGCTAACAGATAATTTTATCAAAAAGATTAAAAAAATATTTATTAGTTTTTACCTGGTTTTTACATAATACTAAATAATTGTAATTTTTAACTAAACCTTAAAAGCTGTGACTTTTCTATGTGTGACTTTTCTATCTATCTATCTATCGACAGCGCCCCCTGAGGTGCGGCGGGCGATCACACGGTGACTACGCCAGTTCCGTTTAACGCTGAGTGTGTGAGCAGAAGGAGCCGCTGGTTTCCGCTCCGCTGATGGTGAATCGCTGCTCCTGCGGTATCAGGAGGAGGTTTAGAGCCCGCAGTGGACGCGCAGCGGTACTTCGGGATTCAGCTTTAACGTTTTCTCGTCGAGTCGCGTCCACGGAGGAGCTACTGAAGAGGGAGGGAAGGCAGGAAGGGAAGATAGCAGGAAGATGGCGGCGGCGGCGGCCTCGCCAGGCTCGCCGGACTGGGTCGTGCTGAGGGACGGCTGTCTGCGCTGCGATGAGGAGGGCCTGCGGAGTCTGTCCTACCACCCGGCCCTCAACGCCATCCTGGCCGTCACCAGCCGGGGCAGCATCAAAGTCATCGACGGCACCTCCGGGGCTATTTTACAGGCCTCGGCTCTGCACGGTGAGTTTCGGTTCGGACGAGCTCAGAGGGATTTAACACCCGTCCGGGATCATAGTACAGAATCCTGGGCTGGACCTCCTCATAGAGGAGACGTATGGGAGATCCTTTCCTCCTATATAGCTTGTGATGGAGAAGGAGAGTGTCAAGATTATCTTGATAGATAGTGTTTGATCTTCTGATGGTGCAGTGTTGTGGGAATGACTCTCCTCTGTTTGGACTCCTTGTGGAGGACTGTCAAAATATATGTCCCTATGCGATATTTTCTTGTATGAAGGACTGTGTGAGAGTGATCCTTCACTCCAGGGCCTCCTGATAGAGCAGTGCTTTAAGATCGACACCTTACTATTCAGGCTCCTGATGGATCGTCCATCACTCCTGATAGGTGTTTGTGAGAATAATCGCTCTCTCTTGATAGTTGTTGTTGTGACAGTGATCTCTCAGTCTTTGGGCCTCCGGATGATCCTCACTGTTTCGGGCCTTCTGGATCTGTTGTGCTGCCGGATCACTGTAAACATTGCCACGTTACTCACGAACACACCGTTTATGTACACATCAGTACCGCTTACTTACATTTCACACCACTCCTTGTCTTTATAAGTCAAATAAAGATAAACCAAGACTAAAATCTGACCCGATATTAGGGTAAAGCGGTACTAAAGCTAATCTAAACATTAGCAAATATCAGCTCGTATTAGTGTGTGTCTTTCTCGTACTTGGTGTCAGTGACATTCAACCAATATCTCAATACATGTCAGTGATATAGAGTACATCTTAACACAGTTTTTGGCTTTTACAGTAAACACTTTTAGATTTTTGGCTCTAAATGAGCTGACAGAGGTTTAGCTAATCATGCTAACGTTAGCCTAGCGATAGCCTAGCCTGTCTGCTACGGATCCGTAACACTGCTCATGTTTATGCCAACCCTGACAGGTGACGGCTGTCTGTATGGTTGCATAAAGTATGAATATTATATTGATTTGTATTAATTTTATGATAGTGTGTTTGGGTGCTTTCTGTGCCGGTTTGCTGTTAAACATGTCATTTTGAACGGAAGAATGAGTGCCTGTGGCGGTGTTGTTAATATGTACATTATTGACCTTGTCAGTCTGTGTTTGAGTGTTTTATCTTTTATTCTGTTTGTTAAAGGCATAATAATTACATTGTAGTTGTGTATTGTTGCCTGAAGCAGTAATATTCACTAAGCAAATGGGTTAAACGGGCACTCTTTCAGACATTTCTTCAGTCTCCTAGTTTGTGTCATTATTCTTATGAAACGTCTAGCTCATTAACTGTCATAAGATGACACTGCAAGCCTAAATGCTTTGAAGAAAGGACAGCTGGACACTAAAGGATGTAAACGGGTATCTTTGCAGTTAGGGCTGCACGATTAATCGAATGCGATTGTCATGCGCATTTTGTTAAAAAAGCCGGTTCTGTAATCAGCAGGAAATCATCATCACGTGCTTTCAGAGTGACAAATGTCTTAGAAAGTCTTCTGTCAAATGTGTGTTAATGAACGTGTGTGAACATTTGTGAATGTAGCTTTAAGCCACTTTCCAGGCAAACTCCAGGCCAGATTAAAAGTATTTAAACTAAAGGTTGTGAATGTGACATTTAGTCTAGGACTAATCTGAAAGGCCAGTTTAAGGAGTTTAACTTCATTCATGTCCTCAGCAAAGCAGCGGTTGGAATTACAGTAGCGGAGATGTGCTGTTCTGTAAAAAAAGCACACCTGTTTATCCATGGATGCATATGAAATGCAAGGAATGATTGGTCTTACACCAGTGACACTGTAGCACATATGATTCTTTGTTGAAAATCCCCTGTGTGCAGCAAGAAGTCTGTACCTTTGTGAAGATAGTAAGCTAGTGGTTGGGTTACATTTAGAGACTTGTGATAGTTTGATATTGTTGAGTTGCAGATATCACGCTCAGCTAACTAGTCTGTTTGAAATTGCAATTAGGTTATTTAGCAGCGAGTCTTTGCATAGAGAGTTGCTAGCGCAGAACAGTCGACTCATGCTTGTTTGGACAATATTGATTGGAGAGGCTTTCTCTTTTTTTTTTCCCTCATGAGTGTGTAACAGCTACTTAGGAGCAGATTTGAAGGGTGGAAGTTAAGACGTTTTTCATGTTAAGAAGTGTGATTTAAAATGCATTAAAATAGACCAAATTTAGGTATAAAATAGGTTGTAACATATTATAGCATATTGAATTGTTACTGAACAAATCTGCTTTCAAACTTTGATTCTGCTCACCAGATTTCAGTCATTTTGCATACAGCTTTCTGTCATTCATGCATGTTAAATGGTGCTTTGCTTTTCTTCTTGGGTAAAAAGGAACAGAATATTTTGGAATGACATGCTGATGCCAGTGGCATTTCTCACTTTTCTTCGTTTGGTGTTGGTGAATGTTCTGGATGTTTGTTTTTTAGTTCTGTTTTGTTAAAACGAGGGTGTAGCTCAGAACAAGTTTAGTATCTCTTTATTTGCACACACTTGAATTCATTAGTCTTTTGTTATTTTTTATTTTTTTTGTAAGAAACAATTTCAATTGTACTCTCCGCCTGAACGTTTGAGTTCATGTTTTTTTTTTTTTTTTTATCATGTTACAAAAGATTTTCATTTCACATAAAGATGTTCTTCTGAACTTTTTATTACTTAAAGAATCCTAAGGCAAAAAAATCTATAACAATATTAACAAAAATATTAATTAGCACGGCTGTTTTCAACAATACTACTAATAATAAATGTTTCTTGAGCAGCAAATCCGCATTTAGAAAGATTTCTGAAGGATCATGTGACACTGAAGACATCATAGGAATATATTTCATTTTAAAATGTATTAAAATAGAAAATAGTTATTTTATATTGTAATAATATTTCTCAGTATTACTGCATTTTTGATAAACTGCAATTACTTTTTACTAAATAGTTATGCATGGCCTTGGGTGTCTTGCTTTATATTTTATTTTTTATAATATCTTAATATATTATTTTTAAGTTTTTATTTATTATTAAGTAGTATTTAATTAAATATGATGCATTTATCATAAAAAAAAATGTAAGCAGCAGTTATCATGTCAAATATAGTTTATGACATAACAGAATGTTTTACTTGTGTTTAATTATTTGACGTGTGTTTGTAGGTTTAATGTAGCAAAACATCTAAATATTGGCAGGCACTGAGCACTAATGATCACCCTCTCTCCTTCTATGTGTGTTTTGTGACAGCTAAACCTGGGGGCCGGGTGAGGTGTCAGTACTTCCCAGCCGTGGATAAAGTGCTGTTTGTGGACGATTACGCCGTCGGCTGTAGGAAGGACTTGAATGGGATCCTTCTTTTGGACACGGCTCTCCAGGCCCCTGTGTCCAAGCCAGAAGACATGGTGCAGCTGGAGCTGCCCGTTACCGAGGTAAGAATCCCGGCATGCACATTTTGTATATTGATTGAATGTGTACAGCATATTCTTTACCTGACCTCTCTATCAGTAAATAGCTGATGTGGTTGTGGGGTGCAAACCTAAACAGTGATGCTTCCAGCATTTTAAACTGCATAGAACCATTTTCTTTAGAGTCTGCAATTGTGTTTAATAAGCAAAAATAAGTTAAAATCTTGTTCAAAGAAATTAAAGGTATGCATATCTAAAATGTGAATGATTGCTGAAATATTTGTTAAAAGTATCATTTGCAAGTCTATAACGCGAGAGGGCAAGTATTATTTGCCCGGTTTATCTTACAGCTGATTAATGCTTTCAACTGACACATCACTGCTTGACAGCACATACTGTTTAAGTCATAAGATCTTATAATTTTTCATGAATGTTTTTGAAGAACATGTGTAAGCACAGGTCATCCATCAGTATGGTACTGAGGTCAATATGGTGTAGTATAGCATATAACAAGTTTCCGTGGCTCATCCAACACTGCACGACAGGAATTATTGTCATGCACTTCCTTAGTGTACGGTGTAGGTTACAACTCAGCAAAATGCTAGTTGTTTGAGTGCGCTTGTTGATATAGTGATCGCATAACCAGTCTGACAAAGAGTGCTATGCAGACAGACTGGTCCATTGTCTCCTAGGGCACTCTGAAAACAAACCTCCCGGCTCTCACCACTCCCTGGTCACATACGCTTATGTGTGAGAACCAGTGGATTTTGTAGACTGATGAGCATATAACCTGAGATAGTCTGACACTCAGATATCATGTTGTTTGTGTCTGTTTTGGTAAAAACGAGGGTCATATCGGGCATGTTTGATTTGTCTTTTGACTTGTTGAATTGGATGCAGTTATGGATGTTGAGGCTTGGTATTGGCTTGATTTGTCATTAGGGTTGGGTACCGTTCACATTTTAACCGGTACGGTACCGGTATCGGTACCTGAACTTCGGTGCCGGTACCTAATGGTATCTTTTTTCGGTACTTTACTCTGTGTAATTACAAAAACATTTATTTCAGTGAAAAAATACGTCCAAAAGTCTCAATTTCAACATTTTGAACGATAGGGCCCTACAAACTTTTTCTTTCTTTCTTTTTTTCTTTTTATTCTTTTTTTTTTTTTTTTTTTTAGAAATTCTTTTTTTAATTTTTCTGAAAATCAAATGAAGACATTAAACATTTATTTGAAATCAAATAAAAATTAAACCCTTTTATTTTTTGGCAAATAAATGAGGTTTACTGTTGAAATTAATACATGGAAGAAAAATAGTGTGAATATTCCTTTAAAACATTGTATTATTTTTTCTACAATTAAGTGATTAATCTGGTTGTAATATTTATTTTTATCATTTAATTGTTTTATTTAAATTGGATAGAAAATGGAATATTTAAAGATGTACATTATACTTTACAAAAGTAATACAAGAGTAATATATTTCTGTTACATGTTAAACCGTACTTTTATTTTGACAGGTTGCCATGAAGTTTCTGTGTGTATACAGTATGATGATGCTAGTTTTCTCAAATGAAACGGTAAAATTCTCGCGAAGTGACTCTCACAGCAGCTCTGGGGATTAAGTTTTTGTGTTCATGCCGTCATATAGTGAGACGCTGAAAATTCTTTTCATTCTAAGGAATGAATTACACTTGAAAATATATTCAAATAGAAGACTGCTATTTTAAATTGTAATAATATTTCACATTGTACTGTTGTATTTACTGGATTTTTTTACTAAATGCAGCCTTGATGTGCATAAGAAACTTTATTCAAAAACATTAAATAAGCTAATCTTACAGACCCCCAAACTTTTATTAGTTTCCACTGTCTGCATTTCTTTGAATGCTCTTTTAAAAAAAAGAAAAAACTAGAAATAAAAATATGGCAGTGACATGCGTATCATCCTTCTTATGCCTGAAATCCAGTTTTGATCTACATGTGCATTTGTTTTGAGATGACATTTTACAATACACAATAGAGGCCATTGATGTCAAAACAAACTTCTGCAGGCCATGAGCTGTTCCTCATGGGAGCCCGATCTGTTCTTCTAGGTCACATGAGTTAACTTAGGAGTTCCCTAGTCTCAGACTGACGTGCCTGAGTCATGTGACTCAACTTGTTCAGAAAGGCCATTCATAAACGTGTACAGTGAAATGTGAGAGCTGAAGTGTAAACATGAGTCATCACCGCAGTGCTGGAAGTAAATCTGTTTATATAGGATTTTTAATAGCATAATGTTGGTCGTGATTAGCTTATTGTTTTTATGGTACTGATTCGACGTGGTAAAAAGGGTGAGACCGTTTTATTGAGGCCTACCTTTATATTTGGTCTTTCTAAGCTCTGAGGCTGTGTTTCACTTCTGTACACATCTAAAATTACATTGCCGTCATGCCATTTTTATGAGTTTAACGTTACTACTCAAGCGTTTTGGCACACAAAAATAGCATAAATAGTTGGAAATCTCTAGGTGGAGCCAACAGATGCAGTATTGTTTGAAACATCAGCTGAACATCCCTGTGATGTGCTTTTATTCTTATTCATAGGTAGTGAGTAATATAAGGCGTGAGCTTCCATCTGAGCGCTCGGTAAAAGAGACACAGCGTATTAAGGCCCTTTAACGATTCGTGACATTGTTCCCCAGTGCATTGAGCTCTGGAGTGAAGCATCAAAATAGAGGCATCATGATGTGCTCAGGTTCACAATATTCAGTGTAGGGTTGTGACGGTGAGGAAATTTTCCCACCGGTTAATTGACCTGTGACAACACCGGTATCACCGCAGGGGCGTTCCCTCTTTTTCTCGCTTTCCTTCACTTTTAAATAGCTTGTAAAAGCGGCGTGTGCATATTACTTTCACTTTCAAATAGTGGCAATTCGGCGTAAAGCAATTGTTTGTTTGAATTTTCCCTATTTTCCTCGCTTTCCTTCGCTTTTAAATAGCTTAAAAGCGCCGTGTGCAATTTACTTTCACTTTCGAATTAGCGGCAGTTCGCCGTCAGTTGCTTGAATGCAACAACAAAATACAACGTCAAACTCACTTTAGCCTATATATAAAACATAGAACTTTTATTAACAAAACAAATAAAAATACACCATGCTAAAGGGCAGGCTATGCCTAATATAAAATAACAAATAACTTGCATAAAGTTTAAATAGGTATACAAAACTGGAAATAGGCTAAATAAACATGTATAATATATATATATATATATATAATATAACCAAATAAATAAGAAACGTAGAACGTTTATTAGCAAAACGAGTAAGAAAGCTTGGAGGCACGGCATACACCTTGATGTGAAATAAAATAAATAAATGACACAAAGTTTAAATAAAATAAAAATCAGCAAACAATGTGGAACCAATTAAATAAGAAACGAATGTTCGAAATAAGAAACGAACTTCCAAAATCACCTTAGATAAACGGCAAAAATCAAGGTGTTGCGGCTTAACACCGGTATCACCGTCAACACCGTCTATCCCGCGGCAAGCCTAATTCAGTGCTGACCCTATGGATGTTTTACATAAAATGTCAGTACAAATCAATATGAAATGGAATAAAGACTGTTTCTGTTTGTAATTAGATTCATTAAAGTTCACCCAAAAATGAAAATTAGCCCATAAATTACTAGGGGTGGGAATCACCAGAGGCCTCACGATACGATATTATCACGATACTTGTGTCACGATACAATATTATTGCGATTTTAAATATATTGTGATATTCTGCGATATATTGCAATTTATTACCTTTTTCCAACTTCAAATTATGTCCCCAAAGGAAAACTTTGACAACATCTGTTTAAACTAAAAAAGAAACATTTCTCAGTTTGTTTATCTCACTTCAGTTTTATTGTTGCAGTGCAAAATGGGATTGTCAAGCAGACAAACTGACCAACACTTTCATGAAAACCTGTCATAAATGTTGTATGCACCTGGCAAACTCAACTATTTGTATTACAGTCTAATCTAGTCCACCTTAATTAAATGTAAACAGGTATGCACTGCTGTGCTACTACAGGTATTTTGAACAGCGCAACTTGAAATTGTACTAAAAAGTTGTGCAGACCCTTCAGCAATTGGGGAATTTGAAAGTAAATTACTGTTAAATTAAAATTAAATTAAATAAAACATGTAGTCTTACATCTAGGGATGAACCGAAATGAAAATTCTGGGCCGAAACGGAAACCAAAAATTCTGGATGCACTTGGCCGAAAACCGAAACTGCTATTTTATTAAATAATATAAAGTAATTTTGTAAGACTTTTTAAATTGAACTCAATTTTAATGATACTGAATAAAAAAAAAAATAAAAAATAAAAAATCACAAGCCAATAAAATAACCACACGTTTACTGAAAGTAACAATAAAACTGGACAGAATTTATATTAATATTGGTAACACTTTACAATAAGGTTCATTAGTTAACTACTTTAGTTAATGAACTAAGAAGGAACAATAGTTCTTTAGCATTTACTAATCTTAGTTCATGTTAATTTCAACATTTACTAATGCATTATTAAAATCAACAGTTGTGCTTGTTAACAGTTAATGCACTCTGAATTAACATGAACTAACAGTGAATAACTGTATTCTCATTAACTAACATTAAGAAAGATGAATAAATACTGTAATAAATGTATTGTTCATTGTTCGTTCATGATAGTTAATACATTAACTAACATTAACTAATGGAACCTTATTGAAAAGTGTTACCTTAATATTAAATATCAATATATTATTTTTATTCACTTCTATGTAACAGAATCAGATAGAAGTTGTTGTTGTTTTTTTTTACTAATTATCCAAATAATGTATAGTCCTACAAAGCTATTATTATCAGAGCATATGAGCAGAGCATAGCATAGCAGAGCATAGCGTCACTGAAGGTAGCATTATTTTACCAGCGTTGCCCAGTACAGCTGAACTAGCCTACACCATGTTACAGCACAGTAGCGCTACTGCAAACCGGAACAAGTAGGCCTATACTGCATAGAAATTTCCTGTCAGCGCGTTATTTGAGCGAACTTTGCTTTTCCGGTGAGCATGAGCGGTACACGAGTGGAACGCACATTCATAGATTGGAATATTGAGCGGAGCGTCAAACTGCGCAGTGACGAGGAGAGTGAACACTGCCGGGCGGGGCGCGACATATATATTATTATTATATGTAGCCTATATTTTCGGTGCATCCCTACTTACATCCCCTCCTTGTTTACAAATCCGAACTAAGTCCATACATCCGATTTAAATGCGGACGGGGCTTTCCTAAAAGTAACACAGTAAAACTGGACAGAATTTATATTAATATTGGTAACACTATAATAAGGTTCATTAGTTAACTACTTTAGTTAATGAACTAAGAATTAACAATAGTTCTTCAGCATTTACTAATCTTAGTTCATGTTAATTTCAACATTTACTAATGCATTATTAAAATCAACAGTTGTGCTTGTTAACAGTTAATGCACTCTGAATTAACATGAACTAACAGTGAATTAACATTAAGAAAGATTAATAAATACTGTAATAAATGTATTGTTCATTGTTCGTTCATGATATGAGCGGAGCGTCAAACTGCGCAGTGACGAGGAGAGTGAAACATGCGCACTGAACACTGCAGGGCGCGACGCGGGGCCCCATATATATTATTATTATTATTATTATATGTAGCCTATATTTTCGATGCGCTACATTAAATACTACATATAATGCGCCGCTCAGAAGTGACGAACGCGGAAGCGCAGGGATGAGATCAAAACAAAACAACGGCCACTTATTAGAAGTACAAAACAAGGATTTGTAAAGAAGAATGTCGGAGGATTTCGATATAAGTCAAGAGGAGACTGGTTTTCCTTTGCTAAAGTAAGGAAACTTTGCTTCCTTTGCTCCTGTTAATAAACGTTGGTTTTCACGAGACCCACCGGCGCATGCGCAACGCCGACCTCATACGTCATCCTCCCGGAGCTGCTTCCATGTACAACTGTTGGCGCAAGCTACATTAAAGTAATTATTACGTTTAGAATATGGATATTTTTCTTAAAAAATGCATCGATTCGCTACAGAAGGCCTTTGTTCACCCCCCGCCTTTAAGTTTGAATCGGGGTAACCCAGGTTAGTCTAAAAGTACACTACAGTTCAAAAGTTTGAGATTGGTTAAGAATTTTTAAATGTTTTTGAAATCTCTTATGATGTCTAGAGCTGCATTTATTTGTTTAAAAATACAGTAAAACAGTAATTAGTATTTCAATTAACTGTTCCGGTTTTCAGTGTCACATGATCCTTCAGAAATATTTTTAACATGCTGATTTGATGCTCAAGTAATATTTCTTATTACAGCCAAACAATTTTGCTAATTAATATTTTTGTTGAAACCTCGATACATTTTGTAGGATTCTTTGATGAATAGGAATTTTAGAGGAACAGCATTATTGAAATAGTAATCTTGTGTAACATCTTTACTGTCTTGGTTCTGTAATATCTAATGTTTCCTGCAGTAGAAAGTACAATCCCTCCTGTGCTAGTTGTCCTTTGAGATCAGTATCCCTTAATAATCTGAAGCAGTCTAAAGACGTAACACTTCAACACTATCATTTGATATCCACATGAGAAAATACAGACTCAATGAGGCCATCACAGTGCAGTTGCTTTAACTGTGATGGACTTTCATGTGCTCTGTATATAGATGAATGACTTATTGCTTATATTCTGCAACTTTGAGGTTTGAATAGATGGTAAACGTGAAATACAATGTACATCGTGTTCCCCTGCAGGCCCAGCAGATGTTGTATGCTTGTATGGAGAAGGTGGATGTTTCCAACACGGAGGGTTACGATCTCTTTCTCACCCAGCTCAAAGAAGGCCTGGAGAATACCTCACATGAGACGGCGGCCAATCACAAAGTGGCAAAGGTTTGTCTAACAGGAAGGAGGATGCATCATTCATAAGTCATCTCACTGTTCTAATCATTATAATGTTTTTGTAACCACAGAGTTGTAAAAAAAGTGCAAAGTGTAGAAATATAAATAGCTTAATGAATAATCAACCTAGCCTACTAGAGGTTGAATGACTATTTTAATCTTTTTGTGAGTCAAGCCTGTTTATGGCTAAAATGGTAATTGGAAGTAATTTATATGTCATAATGGCCTCTTTATTTCTTGTAATTGTAAATTTATATATCAGAATTGCAACGTTGTGGTTCACAATTGTAATAATTATGGTAATATAGCTCACAGTTGCACCTTAATATCTCACAATTACATCTTCATTGCAACAGTTTGAAATTGTATTTCTCATAATTGGCTTTATATCTGACAACTGTGACTTTATTTCTCATAATCATAACTCAAAATTGCACCTTTCTAATAAGTGACTTAATATCTCACTTTTTGTTTTAATTGTCTAATAATTAGACTTTATAGCTCACAAATGTGACTATAGCTCGCAATTAAAACTATATCTTACAATGCACCTTTATATCTCAGTTACATCTTTATAGCTACAACTGCAATTTTATTTCTCTGAATTGATTTTATATCTTTGGGGCATTATATTTTGCAATTTTATACATTTGGGACATCATATTTTACAGTTGAGTCTTTTATATTTCACAGTTGTTGTTGTTGTTTTTTAAAAAACTTCATATCTTACAATTGTTGCTTAATTTCTCGCAATTGTGACTTTATTTCTTAATTTATTTACTCTGAAGCAGAAACAGGCTTCCATAGAAAACATATTTTGTCCTATCAAGAATTTTTGATAAAATTCATAGCTGGATCTGATGCGACTTTGGCTTGATTGTGTAATGCGTTCTTAAAGTGTTCTTTAATCACAGGACTGGTTCTCTGTCTCTCACAAACAGTGCTGGGATTTGGCTTCATGTTTCAGTGCTGCAGAGCGTCTGGCAAGCTACTTTTCCTTACTTGAATTTGTGGGTCCCATAATGTCGGATTAAAACCTTGTGGCACAGTGTGTGTGGTGACATGTTTGCTGATGTAATGCAATCTGACTGTGTGTTTGTTAATAAGCAAGAATAGTTGAGTCATGTAGCATTACAGCGTATAGATTATTCATGAGACACATCCTCACAGTGACTTATCTGTGCAGACACACACAGGCTGTATTGAACAGCAGTGCTGCAGAGCTCTGAGGTGTATCAGTAGCCCAGCAGTAACAGGAGGATGATCAAAGACTCCCACTAATGCACCTGTGCCAGTGAAGTCTGTCAGAGCTGAGGTCCATCTTAAGACTCCCTCTGTCTTTATACATACTGTCACTACTGCTACTGTAAGAATGCAGAGAGAAACACTCAGCTTACGCTCAGTAACACATGATTAGGCGTGACTGTGATTTAGATTGTGTCAGTAGTACTTTATGCAGCAGAAAGTTACTAAACGGATAGCTTTTTTCCATTTTTGTTCTTTTTCCAAGTACAATTTTGTTTCCCTGCAAGTAATTTTCGGTCTTGGTATAATTATTGGCATAATTGTTTTACATACATTTAAAGCTGCAGTCCGTAACTTTTGGCGCTCTAGCGGTTAATAAACAGAACTGCGTTCGTCTTGCGGAAGAACATTGTAGCCGGAGCTACTTCTCTCTGTTTATGTCTATGGCGAATCACGCAAGTACTGGGCTACTCCGCAGCGGTACCTACACGAACCAGTCTAAATAGTCCAAATATAAACACTTATTATAGGTGTACCGTAGTGATTCAGGACAGGCCAAAAACACGGTTTGGAAAATGGATTCATGGTGTACTCGCTTATTATATAAATTTAGTAAATTTTGAACACAAAAAAGTTACGGACTGCAGCTTTAAGTAAAACATAAAAAAAAGAAATATTGTGCCAGTAATAAAAAAACAATACCAATAAACAATGTACAACAAATATAAATATAATTGCAAAATGAAAAATTAACAACAAAACACAATACGAATAAATAAAATAAATTAAGTAATGTACAATAACCAAAATACAACAAATGTAAAAAATTACAAAAAAACAAAAAGCATAAATTCATATATAAAAATTAATAAATAAACAAGTAAAATACAATAAATAAAAAATAATACAAAGTTATATTCAATTGTTAAAAAAATATAATTAAATCTTAAAGCACGTGTACTGAAAGCAGAAATGTCTTTAGTCTTTTGTGTATAGTACGTACAGATTGCATCTTTGTAGTGAGAAAACAAGAGCTCCTGTATTTAAATGGTGTGTTTATAAGGACCCCCCATAAATGCTGATCTAGGAACGGTTTACCCCATCTACGCATCAGTCATATTCATCTAGATAGGAGGAAGGAAACTGATCCTAGATCAGCACTTTCTTTCGGAGTCTTTAAATAAATGGGCCTCTGCAGTTAATAATGACGGCATGTTTCTCCCCTGCATCCTCCAAGCCATCAGCATATTACTGCAGTCCTCTTCATGCAGTTTCGCAGTGGACCACGGCATCAGCCTCATGTGGTAAAAAAAAAAATGAAAGTAAGTGCAGCGTTCCCTTGTGTAGTCATCCAAGCACCCTTTTTTCCGCAATTTGGCGGACATCCAGATGGCACTGCTATAACAATGAGCGTTAGCTGCGGTGATGGATTTCTCACTCAGCTCTCCATTGACCCCTTTCAGGCCACTGCACTGGGTTCTGGAACTTTCCAGGCTCTTGGAAAGAGCACAGATTGTGTATCAGGTTATTTCATGTTTGAACATTGGAGTTTTTTCTAGGTTTAAATGAGAGTGAAAGTCAAAATAAGTCAGGATTGTTGTGAACAAGCTTGTTCAGACTTGTTCAGACATTTCAGTTTAGAAATATTTAAACACTTTGGCCTGAAATTAGGCAGCTGAACTCGGAAAATCCTCAAGTCTTTGCAGCTGTTACAAGCTCCTAAAAAAGACATAGGCCTATTATTTACACCATCTTGCATGCCTTCCTGCTGTAAATGCTGTTGAAATGTAATGTCACCCTCCATCTTTCTCACTTTCCAGTGGGCGACCGTGACCTTCCATCTCCCTCATCACGTGCTGAAGGTGGTAACGAGTGCCATCGTGAACGAGTTGAAAAAGTTGAATCAGAATGTCGCAGCACTGTCGGTCGCCTCTTCGGTCATGGACAGACTCTCCTACCTCTTACCGAGCGGCAGGCCAGAGCTGGGTGTCGGACCCGGGCGCTCTGTAGACAGGTAACTGCACAGGAAAGGGTCAATTCGGTGTTTGTCAGATTATTTGTGATAGCATAAAAGCATTCAAAATTGTAAAGGTTTCTGCAAATAGTGCAGCTTGAGAATTGATCCTTCGCAAAGACCCACCCCCGTTAGCTACTATTGCTATGACTGACAAGCCATGGCGCAGTGAGAAATACATCACAGAGCAACGAGGACATTGACAACGGCCTTACTTTTGGTATGAAACAAAGTCTAAGCTTTGAAAGAAAATAAAATAATAAATACGGTTTTGTGGCTCTTTAATGTGTCAGTTCAAGCGGCACGTGAACTGATCTTTTACTACTAGTTACAGCATGAAATAAACATGAATGAACATTAGAAAGTATGTTGTCTCAACAACAGAAAGATGTCAATGCACCATTTTCAAGTTCAACTCTACTGATGCTAATCTACTAACACTCCTCTCTAGTTTGTTTGTCGGACAAAATGGCAAATTCGGCATTATGATTGGTCCGATCGCCTGTCAATCAAACTCTTGGTGAAGGGTCAATTGTGCTTTTACTTTTCCATTTCCATTTTACATTTGGGGACAGTAGGGGACAAAATTCAATAGACTTATCTATAAACCAGTACATCTTTGATATTTGGAGGATAGGGTGTATCGGCTTAGTCCAATAAGGAAAAACTATTTTAAAAACACCCAGAACACCTTGAAGGTGTCATGAACTGCCTTTTTTATTATTTTGTACTGTTCTCTGGGGTCCCCTTATAATGGTAAGATTTTTACATAAAACATAATTTAGAAGTAATAGGCTATTTTTTGTCCTGTTTTACACTACACGTGCGAATCAGTGGGCGGGGCTAAACAGGCAGTGATGTGGAAGCAGGCGTTGATCTTCTTCTGTGGAGGCAGTGTTTAGCCGCACTATTACGCCTTAAAGTGCACATTCCACATCAGTCGTTTTCGCAGATTGGCTTCAATATAAGCTGGTTTTAGACTAACTTGCTCTGAAACGTACAGGACGTTTTATAGTACAATGACCTCTTATTAGGGTTGGGTATCGTTTTAATTTTATCAATTCCGATTCTGCTTATCGATTCCGATTCTTTTCGATTCCCAGTTTCGATTCCAATGTGATTAAATAATGATATCAAACATTTATCCTGTGTCTCTTTTTTGCAAACCATTTATTGGAGCTGAATACCATGAACAAAAATCAACAGGCTAACAGGATAATTTATGAATGAATGATTAAATGACTCACTCAAGATGTACTTGTTTCATTACTGGGTGAATCAGCGTTCTTGAACGAATCTCTTGTATCATTCAAAGACAAATACATTTTAACAGCCCCTTTTCGCCACCTACTGGCGTAACAATGTAATTGACAAATCTTCATTTGAAGTGTCAAATTACTTTCAAAAGGTGATTTACTCTATTTTAATCGCTACCGTACACATCAGAGACACAGTTTATATCTGAACTATAAACTTTTATCCCAGTACTTCTGTGATTTGAATGTTTGTAACACAGAAATAATGATATTGTGTGGCTGAAAAGACTGTGAAGCTGTTTCATTCATGACAGACAGCTGCTCTCTTTAGGTCAATGGCAGCGCGAACGAAGATTTAAATGTTCAAATCACACTGGTGTGATCGTACGCTGCACGGACGAACCAAGTGATCACAACATTGATTGCACATGTTGGAATGAATGAAATGGAATGGAATGAAACAGACGAATCAATGTAATTTAGGAATAGAATCACGTTGGTGTTTGAATCGCATTCGCGATCTTTAACGATCTATTAAATTAAAGTACTTTGTCATGTTGGTGGTGACACCTCTCTTGCAACATGTTTAGCTATCACAGATATTATACTTAGCATTTTTGGCTTCTGATCGCAAATGTAGCCAAACTTTGGAGCGCTTAGATTAGCGAGCAAGGCCCAGGCAGATCGCTAGGTCCGATCCTCACAGATGAAGAAAAAAAAAAGCGCATAGGAATTGATAGGCGGAATCGAAATTTTAATTTGACAACAAGTATCCAATTCCTGACCTTAAGTATCCGATCCTCGAATCGGAATTGATTTTCGATTCCCACCCTAGCTGACATTGTCGGTGCGTTCCAAACTAGGGTTGTGCCGATAGACGATAGTATCGTGTCCAGAGGCGGACAAAGTACTCAACTCCACTACTTGAGTGAAAGAACACACTGGTGTGATCGTATGCTGCACGGATGAACCAAGTGATCACAACATTGATCGCACACGTCAAAGGTTGAGGAATGAAACAGACAGATCATTGTAATTTAGGAATAGAATCACGTTGGTGTTTGAATCGTGTTCGCGATCTTTAACGATCTATTAAATTAAAGTGCTTTGTCATGTTGGTGGTGACACCTCTCTTGCAACATGTTTAGCTATCACAGATATTATACTTAGCTTTTTTGGCTTCTGATCGCAAATGTAGCCAAACTTTGGAGCACTTAGATTAGCGAGCAAGGTCCTGGCAGATCGCTAGGTCGGGTCCTCACAGATGAAGAAAAAAAGCGCATAGGAATCGATACGCGGAATCGAAATTTTAATTTGACAACAAGTATCCGATTCCTGACCTTAAGTATCCGATTCTGGAATCGGAATCGATTTTCAATTCCCAACCCTACATCTTATATGTCAAAACATCAAGGGAATTTTGATTTCTCAGTTCATGACCCCTTTAAGTAAACACATTAAAACACACTGGAAACCACCCAGAACACCTTATATGGTGACAGCATGGGCAAGCGCCGCTTACATTTTCTACAGAAATACGTGTATTTAATTATAGTGGATTTGAGGATGTAGAATGATTTGAAGTGCTGTTTGTGCCTCTTCACCACAAAATATTTATTTTTTTGACTTAAGAGTGTATATGTGATATTTACAGGTCTTTGATGTACAGTGAAGCTAACAGGAGAGAGACGTTCACATCCTGGCCTCATACTGGCTACAGGTGGGCTCAGCCTGATCCCATGGCCCAGGCAGGCTTTTATCACCAGGTTTGTGTCATTGCCATGGCAAGGATTCTTTTCAAATTTGACTGTCACCTTTAAATTTCGCCCTGCTCAGGTCCTCTTCGTTTTGCTTTTCGTGTGGTATGTATTATTTTTGGTTTCTTTTTTCACTGTTTGAATGATTCCTCTTGATGGTCACTGACTGATTGTGAAAGTCTGTTTGTATCACTATTGAAAGTGAAATCATTTTGAGCACAGACCTGAAACTGGGTCAACAAGAATGAACGAATTGTATTTTCTAATTGTTCAGACTATATAAACAACAGAGATAAATCCAGGACAGTACCGTCGGTTAATGTTTGAGGTGTCTATTATGAGTTCAAAGATCATTTTATGAACGTTTCTCTTTCGGTTTTATTGTAAAATCAGGGAATTCCCGATGATGCGCTGGTACATGATGTATTGTCTTTATTCGAGTCACCATGCATGCCAAGGAGGGTTGAGCGGTGCTGGTAACCAAAGAGACCACACTACTTCTCTCACCCATGTTCCCTGTTGTCATGCCAACCGATCGAAGTGAAGGGAGAACAGTGCCTCTGTGTTGTGGATGAAAGGGTGATGCCACAGCAAAGAGACATTCTGTTAGTTTAAGAAATAGAGCGAAATGGGAAAACGTGATTATGAACTGATGTTTCTTTAAGGGTTATACCAGATGTTATACCAGATGTGTTGGTAAATAAGTTGCAGAGTCTTTCATGCAAGACTTGTGCTAATGTAACATGCTTAGGGCCCTATGAAATCTGTTTCATATTTCCCTAAATTCCATTTACATTTTTCTAGACTGTTTTAATGGTCAAACTAAGTTGTATTTAACTTAATAAGTCTAATTAATTGAAATCATGAAACTTACCATATTAAACCGCAATTTATTAAACATTTTATAAAAATTAAATTAAGGCACTGTGTAGTGCTGGGCGGTATGACCAAAAATTATATCACGGTATTTTTCAAAATTATACCGGTTTCACGGTACATGACGGTATAATTTTTTCATGCATGACCGGGTGTTAACCATATTTTCTACTGATTGAGAGAGGAAATACTGCAGTATATTGACTTAGAATGCCCTATTTTACTGTCATGATGAGTGAATATTGTCAAAAAATAC